ACTGGGGGGTCAAAGTGACCTCCGAAATATTTTTGCACAGATTGATTACTGACACTCCCCCAATGTCAAAAATATGGTTAAACACTGTGACCTCCGAATTTGGAGGTCACAGCGTCATATATGAGGTCACAACGTCATATATGAGGTCACAACGTATGAAGGGTCTCCGTTTTGGAGGTGACAATGTACCCTTTAACACCTGGCGAAAATAAAGCGTGCATGAAAAGTGTGCAATAAGTGTGTATTTGAAGTGCAAGTCTTTATAACAATGTGCATACACGCTACTTTGTGGTAATTTCACAGTTTTTGAAATAATTAAGTTTTTTCAGTCTTTATGTACAATTGGCGTCCCCGAAATGTGAACGGCAAAATTTAATCGTGTAATATGGGCTTTGCATCAGTGTCGTCGGTAGTTGTCAAATTTGATAATAGTTGTCAATTGCAATATTAAAAATGCCACCCCACTTAACCGAGGCTCAGAGGTCCAGGGCAATAGCCAAATTAGAAGAAAATTGGTCTTTAAGTGAAGTAGCTGCAGATTTAAATGTTAGTAAAAGCTGCATATTTTATATCAAAAAACATTGGCAAGAACAACAAAGATTAAGAAGACCTATCAGGCAAGGTGTAGGAAAAATCTCCAACGAAAATGAAGACAATGCTCTTGTCGCACATATTAGGCAAAATCCTTTCAATAGCGCAGTTAAGGCCCGAGAAGATACACAATTTCCAGGATCTCTTCGAACAGCTTAAAAAAGATTGAAACAAGCTAGTTTAAAAAACTGTGCTGCTGCTCATAAGGTTTATTAACTGACGAAAATAAGCGCAGGAGAGTCCAGTTCGCCAATGACTATTTAAATTATGGAGACGATTTTTGGAATAATGTTATATTTTCGGATGAAAAAACGTTCCAATCTTGCAATAATGGAAGGCTGCGTGTATATCGTCCAAGAAAGGCAAGATTTGAGGAGAACTATACATTAAGAACCTCAAATAGTGGACGCTTTTCCATAAATGTTTGGGCGTGGATAAGCATCCATGGTCCGGGAGTGTGTTGGGAAATTAATGGTAGATTAACGGCTGAGCACTATACGAGGATTTTGGACAACGGTATGCTACCTTCAGTTAGACAAGTGTTTCCAGAAAACTTTATATTCCAACATGTAAGAAAACTGTATAGTATTCAAAAACGATTCTAATAAATATTATACATTACAGGACAATGCACCAGTTCACACAGCTCGCGTGGTTACAGAGTGGGTAAACAACAACCACATAACTGTTTTGCCATGGTCAGCTAGAAGCCCTGACTTAACGTGTGGGGTTTTATAGTTAAAAATATATATCAACGGGACTTTAGGCCAGCAAACCGAGATGAACTATGGAGTGCTGTTGAAAATTCTTGGGATGAGCTTGTTGAGTCATACGACATGCGTGAGCTAATAATGTCCATGCCAAGAAGGTTGCAAAGGGTTGTGGCAGCTAATGGCTCTGCAATTAAGTATTAAAATAGCTTAGCAGCACAGTTTTTTAAGCCAGCTTGTTTTAATCTTTTTTGAGCTGTTCGAAGAGATCCTGGAAATTGTGTATCTTCTCGGGCCTTAAATGCGCTATTGAAGGGATTTTGCCTAATAAGTGCGACAAGAGCATTGTCTTCATTTTCGTTGGAGATTTTACCTACACCTTGCCTGATAGGTCTTCTCAATCTTTGTTGTTCTTGCCAACGTTTTTTGATATAAAATATGCAGCTTTTACTGACATTTAAATCTGCAGCTATTTCACTTAAAAACCAATTTTCTTGAGCAATATGTTAATTTAGTTATGTTATTTTTATTGTGTATTTACCTACTTGTTAATTTATATTGTTGTATAAAACCAAATTAAAGTTAATTTATTTGTTATATTGTTTATATTATTGTTTGTTAAAATATTATTAAAAAAATAGAACGATTTAGGATATTGTTCTTATTCTTAGTATTCTCCCTTCTATATGTAACACCACTGGCCGAAGCCAGTAATGAACGAATAAATTTTATGAAAAAAATCCATGGCAACAAAAAATCGTTCACATTTCGAAGACGCCAATTGTACATTGACATCACGCTTTTTATTTGTCATATGTAACGCTTATATTACATTATATTTTAGCACATTGTTTGCACAGTGTTAGTACATTGTTTAAAGACATTTTGCAAAGCTTCAGTCTATCTTACGCATGTCACATTTTATACACGCTTTAATATTTCTCATTTATGACGCTTAAGCTGGATTTATAGTTTTAAAGGTAACGGTAGAGGCAGCGGTAAAGGTAGAGGTAAAGGTAGCGGTAGCGGTATCACTTTCTGCAATTTATAGTTCCGAAAGTAGCGGTAGCGGTACTGACGACGCATGCGTACTTGCAGATTGTAATTTTGTTTCTAAAATTTAATAGCAAAAGGTTGTTTTCTATGAAAAAAGAATTGCGAGAACAATGCTGTGCTTCTGGGCCATATGGCGTTGTGCGAAATATTATATAATAAACCCTGCAACACAATATATTATATATACAATATATTATACAATATATACAAGATATTATGTTGTATTGCAGGGTTTCAAGTACGTTATGGGGGTCGTCAAGTACGTCGCTATAAAATGAGGGAATTAAATCGGGAACGAGCTAAGAAACGCCATTTCCAGTATTAAAATAAAATAAAATTGACCGATATAGAGTATTTCTTTAAATACACAAATGACGGTGACCATTTTTGACAAATTATCAAGTCTGGTTGCCCCTCGCATAAAAACTAAACTTACAAGGCGAGGCTGCCAACTGAAAACTGCCGTGTGATTGGCTGGAGTAGCGGTTGAGGTAAGAAAAGTTGAAAGATGGTCATCTCTTGCCACTACCTTCTTGCCTCTACCTCTCTTACCGCTACCTCTGACAACTATAAATTGTTTCGTACAATATTCAATGCCGAACTCGGCTACCGCTATCGCTACCTTTACCTCTACCTTTACCGCTGCCTCTACTGTTACCTTTAAAACTATAAATCCAGCTATATATAACACTATAGCACATTGTTTGTACAGTTTTAGCGATCACTCAACAGTTTAAGCACATTTTAGATATATCTCGCTTGTGTTGGGGTACAACATTTATTTAAAAGGTGAGGTAAATTCCATCTTATGTATCGCTTCTCGGCCTGTTGCTAAGATCAAAGCAATCCCCTTCGTGGAGTTGACAGTGCAGGTATTTTTCTTAATAAAATACAGTATGTAGGACCTACATTGTGGGTATTTTTTTTTAATTTAAAAAAAAAAAATATTTATTTGATTAATATTATTATAAGGATATTTATATGTGTAAATTTAAAAGACTTTATAGGTCACCAAAAAGAATATGTTTTTGTAATAGGCACACATGTGGCAAGAAACAGTGTGCAAACAATGTGAAAAATGAAAAGAAGTTTCCTTTAGTACATTGTCCACTGATTATTTACACTTTAAATTTTTGGTTTTGCACATTGTTTCATGTTCCATTTCCCACCCTCCGCACATCATTTTTTTGAAAAATCAAAAGGAGTTTCCTTTAGTACATTGTCCACTGATTATTTACACTTTAAATTTTTGGTTTTGCACATTGTTTCATGTTCCATTTCCCACCCTCCGCACATCATTTTTTTAAAAGATTGCACATTGTTGGCACATTGTTCTCAAATAATTTTACACACTTTTTGCACATTTCATTTTCGCCAAGGTATTGGTTATATGTATACATATAACGCCCGTGGAAACCTAAAACCGAATATATATATATATATATATATATAGTGTAAGTTTAAGAAAATCGCAAAATGCAAATTTTACGAGGTTTTTATCAAAAAACTAAAAAACATCCATCTGGAACACCCTGTATTTAAGAACGGTAAAAATTGATATAGTGGGGTTATAAGTGGCCCCGAACAATAATCCGTGGTCACTTTTTCTCTAAAAAAATCCCTAATAGTACTTTTCGAAATCTCGACCCCAAAAAGAGATCATAGTTTGCCATGAGTTTAGTCGTCAAAACAAGTGACATATGTGATTAAAGCCTTTTTCAGAGATCTATCCAACAAAAAAAAGTTTACGAAAATCGGTTCAAAAATGCCAATTTTACGAGGGTGGTAAGGTCTTAAGCGGGACACACTGTATATATATAATAAATCAACGGGTTTAAGGCAAAACGGCAAATGCCAAAATTAAAAAAAAAATGTTACAGCTATAGCTAGAGAATTTAATTCTGTATCAACCTGTACTTCTAACAATTTTTCGAAAAATTTGGCGCTTGTGCCATTTTGCATTAAACCCGTCGTTATATATGCATTTCCTTTTAAAATATACAACTTTTTTGGCTCATTCATATGCGCTGGAAATGAGTCGGCACACGTGCGCTTTAAATGCGCCGGCACGCGTGTGCTTCATATGAGACGCATATGTGTAGTGATCTGCGCGCACGCGTGCCGTTTAAAGACGCACGCGTGCACTCACTGTGCGTGCATCGTGACTACATTTTTCTATCTGAGATTGTTAATGCAAGGTATTTATAGAAAGTCACTTTTTGAATGGGTACATTGTTTATTTTAAGATTCACTATTTGGTTGTTTTTATTTCATTCACTATTAACAGAGCTGTTCCGAGTACAATGAAAAAGTACTCAAGTACTAAATACAAACTTGTATAAAAGAGTACTTGTACTCTTTTATAAAAGTACCAAGTACAGTACCGTTGTACTCGAGTACCCATACGAGTACACTTCAGTTATGAAATGCTAGAGAAATGGGGCGCATTCTTTTCTAATTTTTTTTTAAAGTAACTCTAATTTGACTGTATAGAACGATTTTTCCAGATCGACAAACACTACTATAACTTTAAGTTTTTCTTCTAATTTTTTAAAGATTGTTTCTATTGTGTGGAGCTGTTTTCCAAAATTGGGGTGGGTCCAACAGTTTTTGGCGGGTAAAGTAAACTAAAAATAAGAATACTTTGGTACAAATTTTGCAGATAATTTATTAAGCACCATAATTCAGGCAAATCAAATACATACAAATATCTTGGACATAAAGCTAAGTACAAAATGTCGATTATATATTGATATCAAATATTGTATGAAATATAAGCAAAACCGTTTATAAAAACTTCATTCATTGGTTTATAATTATTATGTATAATATAAATAGTTTATCAAATATATAAAAGTATAAAAAGATAGAAAAATTGGCATTCGGATGAGCCCGCTTTAAAGGTATTCAAGCGCTTTTTTCTTGGTCAATGATCTCCTTGGTTGGCAATGGGTTCTTTTCACAAGTCTCAGCGTGTTTCAACTTAGTGCTGTCAAAGTTTTCTATTCCAGAAATGAGGTTTTTTTGACCTTTTTCTTGCTCAATCACTAAAAAATAAAACAGTAATATTATTAGGCCAAAACACAGAATAAGGAAGATGTGTTTAAAAGTAAATTGTGAACAATTGAAACAACAATATGTTTAAATATACTCTATAAGGGGAACCAAAGCTAAATAGACAAAATATAAACTTTAAAAAGGATATTTCATATTATCAGACCAAAAAAGTTTGTTTTTGCATTTCCTTATAATTTAAAAATCAATGAACAAAGATAAAGTTTGCAACATAAAGCTATAATTTCATTATTTTGGTATTAAGCTTAAAAATATAGTTTGTCTGGAAAATACATGTCATTTTGTTGTACTTAAGTACAACAATGATGAAGTATACCTTCATCTAAAGTTTAGCCGCTAGAGAGCTTACAAGTTAAGGACAAATGTATAGTATAGAGCCTGCCCCAAAAATCAAAATAAATAGAAAAGTTATTTAAAAAAATCACAAACTGGTAAGATGGATTTAATCGAATCTATATTTTTTTGTAGATACATGTATTATTTTAGGAGAGCCAATAAATATGCAAAGCAAAAAAAACTATTTGGTGATTCGTTGAATCAATTTGTAGTTTTGGTACTTTAAAATGGCTTAGCTTACCTTCTGAGTCAGGTAGAACAATTTTTTCTGTTGTTTCGGTATGTTTCATGGAAGCTTTATCAAATTGTTCTACTCCATGAATGAAGTTTTGGTGGGTTTTTTCTTGCAATACAACTATCATGCAAAAGCAAAGTGTTAATCAAACCATGCAAAACACATTTTTAAATACAACTAATACAGGGTGTTTCAATAAAAACTCCCAGGCCAATTATTTCGAAAACTAAAAGTGACATTTAATTTCTGTTAACGCCAGTTTTTAGCCTCTATGATTGGCTTCACAACTGTGTAAAAAATGTGTTTGAATAATGCAAGATGTAGGTGGCGCCACTGTGCAAAAAAATTTTTCGATGGCAGGTACTCTTAAATTAATTTTTGATCAAATTATGTTCCATACACATTTTTGATAAATCCGACATGAACGGAGATATTTGGGGTTAAGTTTTTTTTATAATTTTAAAGAGTATTTTAATTAGAAATATTTTTAATATCCTTTAGCAGAATGTTAATTTAATTTTGGTTATGATAATTTTGGTGATAAAATGCTCGTATAGCGCTAACTAGATTAAAAATATTAAGTCCAGTGACGTCTCAGGGGGCCCTTTAACAAATATTATTGGAAAAAAATAATACGTAATTTTGATATATTTTTCGGAATAAGCAACTAAAAATATCCTTTTTTTGTGTGTTGAATTGTTTTTATATCTTACTTCGTTTTCGAAAAATAAAAATAAAACCATTTGAAAAACAAAACCTTAAATAATAATAATAATAGGTCGCTATATTTTTTGTTTAAAAAACAAAGGTAAAACATTAAAACATAATAAAATAAAATAAAAGGATGTTTTAAATTTTATGAAAGAACTGGTTATACAAAATTATTAATGAAAATACCAAAAACTAACTAATGAGGTCGAATGAGGTGTTCAAAATTATTGCCTTTTTTAATACAAACACATAGCAAATCGATATAATAATTCGCTTCTGCAAAGTCTCAATAGTGTATGTCGATTAATAGCGGCTATAGAAGCATACATTTTGTTGTACAGGTCAGCCATGTCTTCTATTGGTTCCTTGTAGACATCATTTTGTAAGCAGCCCCATAAATTAAAGTCCATCGGGGTAAGATCAGGGGACTTTGCTGGCCATCTAAGATCCCCATTTGTGCTGATCACTTTTCCTGGAAACGTCACATTTAGATGATTTATTACGAAATTGCTATTGTGTGCTGGGGCACCGTCTTGATGAAACCACTTAGTATTTACGTTAATTCCTAAATTTTGTAACAGCAAAGGGAGATCGGTTTGCAGAAATTGTAAATAACGCACTAAAGTTAAATTTTCATGGCACAAATAGGGCCCGACTATGTAACCATTTACAATACCGCACCAAACATTTACCCCAAATCGGGTTTGAAATTTAGTCTGTCGCAACCAGTTAGGATTTTCCTGGGACCAGTAGCGACAATTATGTTTATTAATTACTCTATTATTGTGATTCGTCACTCCACATAATTTGGTTTAATAAATTTGGATTTTCTTCCAAAAGAATATAAAAATGTGCCAAAAAGTTTAATCTGCGCTGGTTATCTCCTGGTTGTAGATGATGCACTAAATGAACCTTGTATGGAAAAAACTTATTTCCTTTTAGGATTCTGCGACACGAACTTAGTGAAATATTAGTTTTATCTTTTAATTTTCGTAATGACGTTTGTGGGCTATTTTCTACTGTTTGGAGAACTAAAGCTACATTTTCGTCAGTCGTAACCCTCTTCCTTCTTGGAACCTTTCCCTTTTTAAAACTACCATATGTAGCTAAGTTGGTACACAAAGCTACAAAAGATTTGCGATCGGGCGTTGGTCTTTCTGGAAAACGAGCTCGTACAGCTTCTGAAGCATTTTGATGACATTCTCCATTAACTAAAATCATGTTCAATTTGTTTTGATTTGTATGGTGAACCATTTTTATTTTAGAAATGTAGAAATTGCTTACATTGACACTGACATTGAGTAAAGTGAAGAAAAATTTACTTGATGTTTCTAACATTCATTTGTTTTTATTTAATGACTATTGTTTTCCAGAGATATGCAGTGAAATGGTTTTATTTTATTTCTCGAAAACGAAGCAATTCAACAGACAGAAAATGGATATTTTTAGTTGCTTATTCCGAAAAAAAATATAAAAATTACCAGAAAATCAGTGGGGTATTATTTTTTGCCAATAATATTTGTTAAGGGGCCCCCAGAGACGTCACTGGACATAATAATTTTAATCTAGTTAGAGCTAAAATCACTAAAATTATCATTACCAGAATTAAATGAACATCTGCTAAAGGATATTATAAATATTTATAATTAAAATACTCTTTAAAATTATTTAAAAAAAAACTTAACCCCAAATATCTCCGTTCATGTCGGATTTATCAAAAATTTGTATGGGACATAATTTGATTAAAAATTAATTTAAAAGTACCTGCCCTCGAAAAAATTCTTTGCACAGTGGCGCCACCTACATCTTGCATTATTCAAACACATTTTTTACACAGTTGTGAAGCCAATCATAGAGGCTAAAAACTGGCGTTTACAGAAATTAAATGTCACTTTTAGTTTTCGAAATAATTGGCCTGGGAGTTTTTATTGAAACACCCTGTATAAAACAATAAAATTTGGAAAATTTGGAAAATTGTTTTATAATTTCTAGGTAATACCAAAGGGTCTAACTATTTTTCGACTTTTTCCAGTGGCATTTGATCTAAGATTTCTCTTTTTTTTTGCCACAAAATGTTTTGAAACCTAAATTTATAAAGTAGTCTACCTACATTGATACATACAAATGTCCATACCTATATGTATAACTTTATTATCAAAGACCCTTTAGCATTAGCATGTAAATATGAAACAACCTGTAGGTATATTAATTATAATATTCAATTAATTAATTAAATCGATATTTTTAATCACGAGATAATTTATTTTGAAATTATGTAAATATTTATATATCTTTATGTATTGTATCTAATAATTTATTTAACGATTCTTACAAAAAATATTTTGTTCTGTATTATTAAAAAAAATAAAAATTACTTTGTTACAAATTGCCCAACATGTAAATCATCACGACGTCTATACTGGATATATTTTGGTATTAATTAAATCACATTAAAATGCAAGATAATAATAAATAAATACAAAACGCAAAACAACAAAAAGCTATTAATAAACATTACAATATAAATTAAATCACAAAGAAAAACGCAGGCAAAAATAAAGTAAGTAGGTACAAATTTTTACCTTCTTTGTCTGGCAATGGATTTTTTTCCTGGGTTTCTGTATGTTTTAATTTGCTGGTATCAAAATGTTCAATGCCTTCAATCAAAGCCTTCTCGGTTTTTTCTGCTGCCAAATCTGAAATAATTCGAAAATGTTATTAGTATTAGGTACGCATTAAAATCATTAAAACTTGTTTCTGCGTATTACACTATCCGACGTGAAATTTGAGTAGTGTTTATAGACATTTATCAGAAAAAAATATATTTCATATAAGTTTGCTTTTGTAGCAACCAGGACAACGTTTTGTTAAAATTTAAGAAAATACGAGGCGTAGACAATAATTTCGTAGACTGTTTTTTTAAACGATGAGAGTGGCCTAGTTTGCAGGTATAGTGTTGTGATCATTCAGTAAAATTTTTAATTACAAATAAACCATTAAACCCCTCCTCAATCAACGATTAAACTGTTTCCATTTAGGATCGCAGACAAAATCAGTGCTTGGGAAATTAGACGCCAAATCGCACCTGTTTATCCAAACATGGTCAAATTTTTACCTATGCAACACAAAAAGTTTGAAATTAATTTTTTACTAAAAGTAGTACTTTATAATATTGAAATATAGTCTTCCATCTTACTTTCATTATATTGCATTTATAATAACGGCGTTTGATGTCCATAACGTCTTGATGGAAAAGTTCTCCATGTTCCTCTGAGTAGGTACGCTCCCATGTTGTTTTTAAATTTATCTAAATACCCATGGCAATTTAAAGTTTTGTTTTTAACGAATTAAAAACAAACCAAATTTAAAATTATAAAATAACTGCTATAAATAAAATGTTTATACATTATAATTTTTAGATAATATAGATACTTTTTAAACTAATAATAGGTCTAGTGGTTTATTGTCAAAGGTTTAAGAATACAATAAATATTTAGTGTTCTATAGAAAACTGAAAAATCTGTATTTTTACCACCACTACAAAAGCAAACTTTAAAAAGTATGTTGAAAATTTTTCTTCAGTTTGGGCATGATAAATAGAAAAATCATGAAATAAACCCAAGAAAAAGAAAACATTATTGTTTTTTCGAGTTGTTATTAGCTTAGTTTTACATGTGCACGGGGTTGTTCCGTATATTTAGACATCGCCTTCTGATTTTATTATAAGAAATAGCAAAAAACTTTAAATACTAAAGTTGTAGGGTTTGTCCTAAATCGCCAGATAATGTTCCAATCTCTTATAATAAACTCAGTGAGCCCTGTATATTTGTTAACATTTTTAGTGATGTAAGTTTGTTTTAAATTATGGTCCTGGTCAGGCTAACCTATATATAAATGTGTACATTTGTTAAATGTTTTAGTAAGGCAAAAGCAAACCGAATTATTTGGTAAATCTGGCAGTTTTTACAGCTCCTTCACAATTTTACCTTGTGCGTTCGGTAATACAATCTTCTCTTTTGTGTCTGTGCGTTTTAAGGAGGAAGGTTGGAAATTTTCTACTCCTGCTATTAGGGCCTTGTGTGTTTTTTCCTGCTCTACATCTAAAAGTGTATCAAGCAAAAACAAATAGAAAATAGGTCATCACACAGTAAGGCACAGAGTGTTAAAATATAATGATATTGCGAAGAACGTTGGGCCATACGAAAGAAGAAATTGTATTAGTATTTGTAGAAAATTAAAAAAAAAAGATTTTTTTAAATTTTCTGACAAAACAATTGTTTTGATATTTGAATTGTTGTATAAAGGTGTCAAAAATGTTTTTAATACTTAATAATACTTAATGAGAACTGGCTTTTAACCTCATCACTGTATTTCGTTCGGTACGACAGACCTTATCAGTACCGGGTAGCTATGTGGTAAGGAACACGTCAAAAACAAACTGCTTCTCGATGCTTTAAGGCAGCAGGATGCAGCTACATGTTTCATTCTATGCCACACTACGTGGCTACCCGGCACTGATGATGCCCAAAAGACAGACGTCTGTCGGTGCCTGGCGCGAACACACTGACGAGGTTAAACGCCAATAAGACATTTAGTGTATGTTTCAAAATTATTCTTGCTTTTGGTTAAGGCCGATTCTCACATAGCGACGCGACGCTACGCGACGCGATGCTTCAAAATCGCGCCCTATTGTCGCTCCAGGAAGCGACAAAACTTTGTCGAGTCGCGTTGCTGGCGCGTCGCGTCGCTATGTGGGAATTGTCTCATTTAAATGCATGGAAATCTTTCATCAGCTACATTTTAAAGTGTCGCGTCGCGTAGCGTCGTGTCGCTATGTGAGAATCGGCCTTTAATAGTATTAACTTAATACACATATAGGGTGTTTATTGATAAGGTTAGATTGTATATACGCACACATGGTTGTTTTAAGTACCTTTGAATTGGAACAAATAAGAAGAACAATATCTTTACAACTTTAGAAATGGACTAATCTGTTTATTTATTTACTATAAAACTTGCTGTTTTTCATATTACTTATGATAATTATAATATTATATGATATTATAATATACTCTCTAAAAATGAATTAGTCAAAAATTACTAATTTAATAGTTATTAGTGGCTGCTTTTTCACTTGTACCATGGTTAACCATGGAATACTATGGTAGCCCATCCAATTCTTATGTAATATTGTCCCCTGAATCCGAAAATACCATCCAAAATTATTAAAGTGGAGCAGTTTTTGAGATATAGTCAATTCCATATTAAATGGAAACTTGACTATATCTCAAAAACTGTTCTACTTTTTTAACTTTTGACGACATTTTCGGATTCAGGGGACAATTTTACATAAGAATTGGCTGTTAAATTTTGGGATACCATGGTATTCCATGGTTAACCATGGTACAAGTGAAAAAGCAGCCACTAATAACTATTAAATTAGTCATTTTTGACTAATTTATTTTTAGAGAGTACAATAATATTACAACCATAAAGCAAAATTTAATTTATGTATGTATTTTCTAATCATTTATTTAGTATACGGTTTTTTAATGTTTAACAAAAATTAAGCAGTTTATTGCAATGACGATTATGGATAAGCAAGTTTTGGAATACACCTCCTCAAATTTATGTATGTATTTACTAATACGCAATACTTAACTAAAGTAATTAAATCATTTATTTAGTATACGGTTTCGGAATGTTTAACAAAAATTAAGCAGTTTATTGCAATGACCACCAAGTCGTTGGATAAACATTTAGGTCGTCTGTATAAATATTTATTGGCCAGTTTATAAAACGCAACAAATTAAAAATAAATATTGTTCAACATTTAATTTCTATTTTGTGTGCTTTTTTATCATTCAGACGCCAAACTTGTTGATTTATTAAAAGGAATTGTACTTAGAGAATTAAGTTGCCTATCATGTACTATATGATAAGAAAATTTCTTAGAGGAAATTAGTCACCGACTGATAAAACAAAACTATACAAAAACGTTTAAGCAGTCAACGAAATATTAGACAACAGCAAGACATATAATATACGCATGTATAAAATAGTATTACAATTAAATAAAATTATTTGTTATAATTGAATTTATTTTTTTTTAAAAATTTATTCTTGTTTTTATTAATTGGCTTTTATAATAGTTATTTATGGTACTAGTGTGTTATGTTGACAATACAATTCATTAATATTAGAACCAATCAAATGCCAGTATTCCATAGTTACGCATTTTACCACAGCGACAATATTTTTTATCACCTTGTTTACACGTTACCATGATACTAAATAAGTATGTAGTATCATGCTCTTTACGTAGTCAAATAAAATTACAAATCGCAACCTGAGAATTAGATTGTTCTATCTCCCAAAATTTAAAGAGGAACAAATAGCAGTTTAAAGTTTAATTTATATACAAATGAAATTTTGTTTAGGTTTTGGGAGATTCTATCTTTTAAAAATCTGATACGGAAAAACAGCTTTTTAAAATTTCATTTGTATATAAATTAAACTTTAAACTGCTATTTGTTCCTCTTTAAATTTTGGGAGATAGAACAATCTAATTCTCAGGTCGCGAAATGTTCATCCATAATTATTTAAATGAAAGGTACCATTTTCTTAAGTTGTAAAATAACTCATCATAAAAGTAGAATGTACTCTTTAAACTTTTAAAATTTTACTTCTTAAGTAGTTTAATAAAAATTACTCTTTACTATTTTTGTAAATCATAAATTTACTGCTTAAGTATTTAAATTAAAAATCCTTCCATAATATGTACATTTTTTGCAATTATGGACCTAAATTCATTGAAACATAATATGTCTCAATGAATTTAGGTCCATAATTTCAAATAATGTACATATTATGGAAGGATTTTTAATTTAATATATTATGACCATGATACTACAGTTGTATTCAATAAAAAAGCGTACAAGAATTAGAATGAGAGAAAACTGTCAAAATAATATTATTGCTTAAAACCGGCTTATCACTGACATAAGTCATTAAAATAATTACTATAGGTTATAAAGAGCATTGACGTCGTAAGTTAATTAAATAATATTACAAAAATTTTTACCTTTTAGAAATGAAAAAAAACAAACATTAAAAAAATTTAATATTTAGTCATGCATTCGTGTTTTTTTATTACTTGAGCCAATCTATTTGGGATGAACTGAATTAAATTTAATACAATATTTGGATTAATATCCTCCCGGCAGTATAGTACGTATAGTATAGTTGTATAGTTTCCCATAAATCCTCAGATATCCCAAAAAAGCAGCATCCTGTTCAGGGGTGGACATTTTGGGACGACCTGAACCAACTTTTTGGTTTAGTAAATCTTCCTGTTCCCAGCGTTGCTTAATTTTTAATATAGATTTTTTATTTCTATTATACCACGGTACGAATTGACCATTCTTCTTCGATTCTTGATACTATTTGAGTCTTTTTAACTGACGAGGCATTTTTATTTTCTACTGTCAGTTATAGTGACTTAAGTCAGTGGAAAGCCGGTTTTACGCAATAATGTTGACAGGTTTCTCTCATTCTAATTCTTGTACGCTTTTTTAATGAATACAACTGTACATAAGTCTTATTTAGTATCATGCATATGACCTTTGTCAGTTTTTGTTTTGATTTCATCCTAAAGAAAGCGGGAGAGGGGACGGAAAGCGTTTCGATGTACTAAACAATCCATTTTTGCATAGAGAGGCTTTGACGCGAGGTGGAAGTGCTAAAATCATGATACTACATCAGACTGGTAATCCGTCGCACCGCTTGCAGCGGACCGGTCTCAAGCATGATACTACATAGTATCATGATAAAGAGTGACATTTCAAGTTTTAAAATTTTATTTGATATTTATAAAGAGTGAAATTACGATTTAATAAAAGAGCACTTTTTATTTAAATAATTATAAGGATTAAATTTTAATTAAAAAAAAAACATTTAAGTTTTATAGACAGAATTTAGGATTGAAAAAAAGAGTACTTTTATTTAAATACTAAAAGAGTGACATTTCAAGTTTAAAAAAGTACAAATAACCTTTATAAAGAGTGGATCTACGACTTAAGGAAATTATTTAAATAATTAAGGATTCAATTTTAATTTAAAAAAATACATTTAACTTTTATAAACAAAGAATTTACGATTGAAAAAAAGAGTACTTTTATTTCAATACTTAAAGAGTGACATTTCAAGTCTAAAAAGTACTTATCACCTTTATAAAGAGCGAATTTAAGACTTAAGAAAAGATAACTTTTTATTTTAAACTTAAACTTATTTGTTTTTATTTAAAAAAGAGTATTTTAGATTTCATTTTATTTTTAAGGACGGATTTCACTCTTCTGGTTTAATGTTTACTATATTTATAGAAAATAAAGACACTTATTTTTCTCAAAAAATTTTCGAGTTATCGACACAAATCGTGTTTTTCGTGATTATACAAAGTTTCTAAATAAAACCACTCAAATACACTGGTCAACAGCAATTTTGCCACATGGTGGCCAACAACTTTACTAGGGTAATTTGGGTACGCTGATTCAAAAAATGACCATTATTTTGCTTAATTAGTAAGTGTTTTTAAGATATTGCGAAAAACACGTTTTTTCGACGTGCAAACATTAAAATTCGTATATATAATATATACATATATATATACATATATATATATATACAGTGTGTCCGTAAAGTCCCGGAACATGTGATTATTTTGAAAACGGTATTTTTTTTAAAAAAACGCTGAAACACGTCCACTTTGGTATTTTTCTAGCAATATTTTAGCATATGTAGTTGTTCCAAAATCTGCCGCGTAGCGGCGCCCCAATCGAAGTAAGGTTTTTTTAAATTACAACCCTTAATTTTTGTTGCATTTTTGGATAGCTACTGTCGTCCTGAGTACATTGATATGCTACATGTGGAGGGTTACATAAGAAAATTTTTGAGAAAAGTAGGTTTTTGCCGCTGATTAAGATTTTGGTTTTGACGAACTTATTCGCTGTTACGGGGCACTATGCATTGCTAGTAAGGGATTATTTAAATCAGGTCTTTCCCAATCGCTGGATAGGTCAAAGAGGTCAAATTGAGTGGCCAGCGCGATCGCCCGATTTGAACCCTTTAGACTTCTTTTTATGGGGACCTCTTAAAAACCGCGTCTATGTAAACAGGCCTTAAAATTTGGACGACCTAAGACACCGCATTCAAGCCGAGATCCAGATGATCACTCCCAATGTTGCCGTTTGCGGGTATTTTACCCGAAAATCGGGTATTTTTGTCATGCTTGCGGGTAAAATATTTAAGCGGGTAAAAGCGGGTATTTACCAAATTTCGGTCAAAATATTGAATTAATTTATTTTTGCAAACAGTAATAATTTTATTTTATTAAGAAAATATATACATATTTATATACAGGGTATCCCTGAAATGGCGCACCTACTCCATACCATGCTGTAGAGGAGGTTATTTTAAGCATAAAAAAATTGCAACAAAAAAATCCGACCAGTAGTTTTCGAGTTATTAAAAGTTTAAAGTTTAAAAAATTTGGCAACGTTTCAAGCCCATTTAAGAGACATCTAAAACGATTGTTATGGAAACAAAGCATCTACAGCCATTTTAAGTTAACATGGTTGACAGATGTATTTTTAGCAGTTCCTGTCAGAAAACCCAAACTAAATCATCATAACTTTGTTAATATTAATAAATTTAAACTTTTAATTTTTTAAACTTGATTAGGAAATTGTGTTTAATCCTTTTATAAAAACATATATTCTTAAAAAATTAAAATAAAGAAAATTGAATTGAATTGAATTTTTAAATATAAGGTAAGTATTTTTTTACTCTTGCGGGTAAAATCGGGTATTTTGTAATTTTTGACCGGGGATTTTCATGAAAGACATCCGGCAACACTGATCACTCCAGCGGTACTGGCAAACGTACAACGCTCGTTTGTAGACAGGCTGTTCCATTTCCAAATAGTTTACGGTGGACACTTTGAGCAACTGCTCTGATTGGCTTTCCAAAAAACATTAAGCAACGCATAGATTGTGTAAGTTTGACAAAATACCAAAATCTCATTCGGCAGCAAAAATCTGATTTTCTCAAAAATTTTCTTATGTAACCCCCCAGATGTGGCACATCAATGTAATCAGGACAACGGTAGCTATCCAAAAATGCAACAAAAATAAAGGGTTGCAATTTAAAAAAAACTGACTTTGATTGTGGCGCCGCCACGCGGCAGAATTTGGAACAACTACATATGCTAAAATATTGCTAGAAAAATATCAAAGTTGGCGTGTTTCAGCGTTTTTTAAAAAAAATTACCGTTTTCAAAATAATCACATGTTCCGGACACACTGTATATATATATACAGGGTGTCATTTAACTTGAAACTTTGAAATATCTCAGTTAGTATGCATTTTACGAAAAAATGTTTAAAATAAAAATTAAATGATTCGAGGGGGGAAATCAATCAATACTAAAATTGGTCCTCATACTCTCCTCCTTATAGGGGGGACAAGGGGTAACTTTAAAATTTCCAATGGAACACCCTATTTTTTATTGCAGATTCGGATCATTCGACTAAAAATAGGTAGATTTTGTCTAAAACATTTTTTAATATTTGTAATAGATGGCGCTGTAAAAAATCAATTTTGTTCGATTTTTCTTCTGTATACGATTCTATAAATGTACGCCCTTGTTTTTAACAAAATAAAATCGTGGCAAAAATTTGATATTTTTTTAAATTTCAAGAGCTGTAACACGAAAACTTTTTGTCCGATTGTAAGTTTACAAAATTTTGTAGCTTATCTATCTACTTTTTTTTGTTGGAATTTGAACAAAATCAAATAAAAATTGGCAAAATGGCACTCAAACAACCGCGCGTGTCAAAATTTATATTAACTATCATTTTTGCTCCTGGTGCTTGTAAGACTCCTTAAATAAATTAAAATGTGTATTTATACAAGTTTCAAATAAAAAAACAATGACACTGTTTAACAAAATGTTAAAAAATATACAGGGTGTCCCAAAATTACCGGACCAGACGAAAAGGATTCCTTGCGATAATATAAGACAAAATTTTATTAACTTTTTTTCGAATTCGCAAAATTTCAGAAGTTATTTCATTTTTAAGGCCGCCTTTTGACTCTTGAACACGCACCGAATTTTTTTGGTTTATTTTTTTCCAATGTTAGAATATCAGCATCTTTTACAAACCTAAAGCTTTAAAAATGAAATAAATCCTGTAATTTTGCAAATTCGAAAAAAATGGTAAAGGAATTTTGAATTAAATTTTTGTCAAAAAATCTACCATTTTCGTTTGGTCCGGTGATTTTGGGACACCCTGTATACAAACCGTTTTTGCATTAGCCACCACTAAAATAAATGTAAAAAATGGCAAGCATGATTTTTTCCGAAGAAATATTAAATCATCAAGCATTTATTAATTGTATTTTTAAGTCGAAAGCAAAAATGACCATAAATATAAATTTTGACACGCGAGGTTGTTTTGATTGCCATTTTGCCAATTTTTATTTGATAGAGTTAAAAAATAAATATAAAAATTTTATTCAAATCGGACAAAAATTGTTTGTGTTATAGCACTTTGAATTTTGATTTTCAAATTTTGTCTAAAAACAATCTTATTTCGTTAAAAGTTTGATTTTTACAGGGAAAACCTCGTGAAAAAATAAACGAATTTTAATGTTTGTGGGTTTGAGGTTTACTTTTTTAACATTGTTTTCTGTTTTTTTTTTGTTGGATTATTCGCCTTTAAAATTTAATTAAAAATATCCGTAATTTATTTGTTGTCTTCTTTTTCACTGTTTCACTCGTGAATAATTTCATTATTCTACTAGTGTAACACAATATCTTATTTTGAGTAAGTGAGAATGGGAAAATAGTATATTGTGCGAATAGTGGGGAAAAAGAGGAGAATCCTCGAGCGATGACAAATGTGACTAATACTAATACAGAGGACAATTTTCTCCACAGTTCTCGGTTTAAGGCTGAGCCACTTTCTCAATTAAAAACGTACATATAAGAAATGTACAAATTCTTTAATATTATTAGAACAAATATTTTATGTAATTACCGCAAAAAATTGCTAATTTTATTTGACATTTGACAACTGTCAAGCAGTTTGAACCACACACTTTTTTCAATTTAAACTAAACGGTTTGAAATTAAGAAATGAACAATCAGGGAATTATATTATTTCGGCCACTCTCACTGAGTGGTTCTACTAAAAGTCTCTCAGCAGGGCCACGAAATTACATATTCCTTGAGAATATTGAATACTTGAGTAAAATTTAAGATAAGTCTAGCACTAGCACCAAAATAAAAGATACCTTTTTAAATAAAAAAGGTAAATGATATGATTATATATGATATTATATATATTATTCTAGCACTAGCACCTTTTTAAATAGATAAAGGTAAATGGTATTACCTAAATGGAGCAAATTTATAATGGTTTGATTTGTTTCCATAACAACTGCTCTTAACTATGGATTTACTAATCTTATTGAAAAAATAACTTATATTAAAAAAGCTATTCTTTTAAATGTCACCTTTTATTTTTGGACAAAAAATACGTATTATATCTTGTGCTCTACCTCCATGATTTGAAATAGACAAACCCTTATATACCTAAATTCCCTTATAATAAATATTTTTAATTAATTATTATACAAATAATTTTCATTTTTAAACTATGTATTTGATTAGTCAATTTTCGTTTATTAATTAATATTTTGTTTCCTCAGAAAGCTATTTCTATATTACGGGTTTAAACAATCGGTACTTATCTACCATAGATATCCATTAATAAATGCGCACTTGGTTACATCCCGTAATAAATTGCTAATGAGTAATATATTTTTAGCAAATCCAACACAAATCGTGACAAAAAATAAAAGACAACAAAGGTATTTGGTGTGTGTGTGTAAGTGTATTTGATTTATAATTGCGGAATGTGCTAAGTAAGTACAATTTTAAAATAGCTCACCTTCAGCAGATGGAAGGACGATCTTTTCTTGTGTGTCGGCATTTTTTAAATTTGAAGACTTAAAACCTTCCAGCTCGCTTTTCAAATTTCCCGCCACCTTTGGCAGATCCTTAAGGGCGGGGGCGGCTGGGGCTACTGGCACTTCACAGGACATCTAAAAAAATGAAAAATAAAAAAATATTATATGTGTACATAAAATTAAGCTTTACAGCAATTAAAATATTTTAGACACGCTCGCTAAACCTATAGTCTATAGACTGACTTTTTTAACGTTTGCTAGCAGACCAACTAACGGATTTACCGACCGAATCCATTTAGACATGTAGAAAATTATGTAAATACGTTTTAAATATGCCCAATTAAAAACTTTAAATTATACTCGACTGCCAAATAAAATAAAAAAAATGTATTTAATAATCATGCACATGATTTAGAATGTTTTAGAATATCTATTGTCCTAAAAAATGTGTTATGAAAAAACTTCTTAGGTGTCTGGTTATTTTTTATTAACCATTTTATTAACCACATGCGCTCATAAAGTTTATATTGAGTTAAGACTCATTAACGGGTGTATACAATTTGCAAAGCACTAGGTATAATAAAAATTTTACCAAATCGCCAATTTATGTTACTTTTTTTTTTGTTTGTGATCATTTTAAACTTTTAAATTATTGTTGGTAAAGATACATTTTTAACACTCTGTATATCAAACGTTTTTGTCAAAGTTGTGGAAAGATGTGGTTTAATAGATGGTCGTACCCATGCTCGTACCATTAAATCAGTTTTAAAATAGTTATGGAAATTTAAATAATGAAGTTGACGTTGACATTGTTAACAAATGCATTTTCATCTTTTTAGTTAATGACTAGTTTATTAATGAAAACATTTTGAGAGATATGGCAACATTGTATATGTGAAATTTTAAATCTCTTAAAGTTAGTTAATAAATTTGAGTTTTAAGGAAAATTTCTGTTCTAATTAATATTTTATATATAAGTCTATTTTAATTAAAAAATCGATGGTACAAAAGTTATTTGGATTTTAAAAAGAGAACCTATATAATTTTGACGTTTTTAATAATTTTGTAATAAATTTTAAATTAAATTTTTTAGTTTATGAATAAAGTCGAGGGATACATGATTTCCATTAAAGGATAAAATTTAAATGTAAGTAATATTTATATAATCAATTTATTTATTAAAATAAAATAATTGTAAATAAAGTTTATTAAATAAACCATTATTTTAAACTATAAGTTACCTTAAAAATACAATTTATTATTGTTATCATGTCTAAAAAGTTCTGTGCATAATATCAATTCACGTTACGGTGAATCCCGTACGGTAGCCCAAACTAGATTCTGGTTACCTAGTAACGTTTGCCGTTTGATGCGTGCTTTGCAGACCAGCGCATTCTTTATTTTTCTGCGGTGTAAGAATTAATTTGAGGTTATGTCATCAATACTAGTATATTATTATACGAGAGATAATGCAGGCTATTATTCACAAGGATAAGGTTTGCACGTAAATCATCTGAGTAAATAATGCGCATTATTTCGAGTGTAATACTATGCTTTTTCTACTCCAGTTAAGTAATTTTCATTGATAACAAAATTTATTATAACCTCACTTTTTCCCTATTTTAAAGATCATTATAGTCGCCTCTCGTATAAACAAATCCGACATCTGTTAACCTTACTTTTTCCCAATTTAAAACCCGATTGGTTCAAATAACAGTGAATATTGAAATCAGCCAATCACTGATGCCTAACAACGTGAATAATGAGTTCAACATTCCCGTTGTTAGGCCGGGCGGTTATATTGGTTAACATTATTTACGAAAAAAACTTAAATGTCAATAATATGCAATAGGAGGAGAAAAAATAAAATAAATAAAATCTGTCAAATTAACCTATCCTTAAAATTTAAGTTCCATTTTCGGAATCGCAATCGGAAAATATTCGGACAGTTTTTTATGGACGTTTTAAAATTTTAAAATTAAAAGAAATACCAAATTTTAAAAAATTAAAAAAATAAACGCGTTAATTGTCGTGGTAGCCAAGCTAATAAAAAAAACAGTTTGGGCTAGTGAATTGATTATACGGTCATAAATCATTACAACATTGTTATTATTTGAAAAAATATATTTTAGAAATATTATTAGGAAATTACCCTTCCATGTAAATAAATCAAACAATAAAAATTTAATTTTAAAAATAAAAGTAAAACACAAAAAGTACTGTATTTTTTATAATTCAAATTACGAGAGTTAGCGTAAGAGAGCCAATTTCGACACCCTGTATATAAATGCCCATAATAAAAATCAGTGTGTTCATAAAAAAATGTGTGGCCCTGTGACGTACTGATTTATAGATAAATGTATCCTTAAAAGGAGACCGTTTGAAAGGATTACTAATATTTCCCGGTATGTGCTTATATGAATGTGTTTATAACACGAAGAAAAATTTATATATATATATATATATTTATATATTTTAACTAATTACAAATGTAATAGAGTAGGTTTTTTAAATATTTTGCACCTACATCTCTATTAGTTCTGGGTCGGATATTTGTCATGCAACAGGGAACCAACCACAGACTTTTTGGGACGCTATTATCTATAATAATATAATATCTTCATATTATATTATATATATTTATATAAACCACTTTAAAATCAGCTTGACCAACGTTCAACGTTATGTGGACGTCGCGACGGATTTTTCCTGATAACGACGCGTCGTTATCAGGAAAAATCCTTACCAATAAGAAATTTCTCTTAGCGACGCGTTGCGCATGACTACCCTAGTGATTGTTTTCCTTAGCCGTTGATTCGTAAGCGATTTTTTATTTTATAATATCAGTGGCTTACCCCTTGATTATCTCAGTTTGGCAAAGGTGAGGGTTGGTTTCCTATTGCATAACACGATATATTTTTATATTATTAATAATAATTTATTATAATACCCTAAACAGGGTGCACCAAGTATCCTTCCATGTGTACACATATGAGTACTTTTTATTTGAAGAGCTACAAGGTTGGGTATTTCAAAAAGTTGTAGTTACGATGAAATTCGAAAATTGGAAAAAAAACAGCTGTTCTCAAAATATTTGAAAAAAAACTAAAAACATGTCAAAACCAAATTATGTTATCTGAAAATTTTAAATTTTATTACTTTTACTTTTAAGTAAGATTTACATGTAAACAAACATTTTATATTCATTTTTATCTAATTTCCTAGCTACTATATTTTGAATTACCATCACGATCTTTTGTTTTTATAATGGCCGCCATAACTTATGTAGTAAATTTGATACATCGTTGGATTCCTTGATTTAAAAAAAAATTATCTAACCATGTAAAATTCCAATATGGCGGCCATAGGAAAAACAATAGATGGTGGTGGTTTTGATAGGTTTTCAGTTTTTTCAAATTATTTGAGAACCTCTGATTTGTTTTAATAGGCTTGTAGTTACGTAACTTTTCTCCAATTTAGCCGATCTTGTAATTTTTCAAATAAAAATGATACCCACCCATACATGGTAAACCCTGTTAATTTATTGGACATTTTTGACGATCTAATTAACCCAGGAACTTGATTTCAAAATTAAGTATTTTTTCTATTAATCTGTTATGAAAATAAATCGCATACTTAACAATTGTAATTACTTGTTTACATTTAAAGGTCATTTCCCTTTAGTGCTTTAATAAATAAAATGCAATTAAGTAAAACAATTTAGTTTACTTTTTAGTTTAAAGAGTTGCTTAAATTTAAAAAATATTATTATTACAATTAAGAAGAATATCGTCGAATTATCCTTTATTGAATTCAGAAAAAGCTGGTTTGCGAAAGCAGTAAAGTAAGTAAGTAAATGGAAGTAATTGCATATTTGAACGTAGTTTTTAGTTCTGATTAACATTTCTTTATAACAATTTTCGATATTGTCAAATATAAAGGTACTTTACTCTTGAGCCAAATTCATATTTTTTGACATACCCCGTATACGACTAAACAAAAATAATATTTGTGGATTGCATTTTAAGTTTTACACCATGCAGAACTTTTTATAAAGAATAACTTTTTTTCCTAAAATTAATAATAAAAAAGTTTTCCATATGATTCCAAGATACTGAGACATACTGTATATATATATATATTAGGGTGTTTCAAAAAAATCGACTTTTTCTTTTTCTTCAAATGGTCAGCAAATTCTTTCAGAGGATGTCAAAACAAAGACCTCGTTAAAATTTGAGCTTTTAATTTGAAGATTTAGAGGTCGCGGATCGCAATTCTCTATTTCCCATTTAAATAACATAGGAATTTTTTTTTTTTAACTTTGGAATTTTATACGTCTATATCGAATCAACTTATGGCAAGGAACATCTTAGATTTTTATAGTAAATTTAACGCTCTATAAAAAATGTCTCTTATAATTTTTCTTTAAATTGATTTCTTCCAGAGTTATTCGAGGCCAAAGTTTGATTTCCATCGAATTTTCTCGTTTTTTCAACTTTTAGCATCATGTAGTAAAAAAATCACATATTTATATCTGAAACATAGGAAGTGTTGTAAAAAAAACAAAAAACCAAAAAAACGTCACTTTTTTCCAAAGCCTACTACAAAGTTTTAATAAAAATATGAGATGTGTATAATATGCAGAGTAATTTATTTATAAATGCATTTTTCTCGAAAATGGTGCATCTGAGCAATTCAAATCAAGAGTACCTATTTTTCGTAAAAAACTATAAATTCTCATAATTTCATAAAAAAAATTAAATTATTAACCCAGAAAAAAGTTGGGGCTATTTTTGTAACTTTGCCCCCTCCAAATGTTACGCCTATGATTAAATTTTAACAATTTTGATCATAGATCTAGATTCAGCATGTCAAAATTACCAAAATCCCGAAAATTCATTTGTTCATGTTCAACCCTCTAGTTTTAAAAAAATTATCCTCTTAGGCTCCTATTCAGGGGGCCGTAGCTCCTTTAGGGAGCATTTTTTGATACATGTTTATTAAACAAAAAAAGTGTTATTTTTATACGAATAATGCACTGTTTAAGTTTGGCCCCCTGATTTCGGGACACCCGTATAATGAAAATTGTACCATAAATGTTAAAAAAACGCTAATATTCGATGGAAATCAAACTT